TCTCTCTCTCTCTCTCTCGCACACACACAACAAACACACACTGACAAACACACCCACACAAATACACCTACACAAACACACACCCAAACAGAGTGGTTATAAACGACTGCTCGTCGGGGAGGTCAGATCAAAGAAAGAGACCGCCACCCACAGAACCACACGGTACGCAAGAGGCCATAAACTAACCCCAGAGATAGACCGAGTCGATCATTAGCCGTGGCCCTGCCGCTAAAGCAGTGACCTCACTCCTCCTTCCATATTTCACGACCACAGAAACCTCCACCACCAACCAACTTTCACTGACCAAATGACCACCGTCTTCGTTTGGTCCCCTATTCTCTAAACTACACCCACTAAGACCATGCGATGACCTAAGAGCTTTTCCGAACACCGTTCCCGACATACAGGCCCAAAAGTGGTGACTTCATGTCCTTTATAACGAACTGATGCTTGAGAATAGAAAAGACTCTCGCAAGCACCTCATTGTATCAGTTAGTGTGTGTGTGTGTGTGTGTGTGTGTGTGTGTGTGTGTGTGTGTGTGTGTGTGTGTGAGTGTGTATGTGTATTGTGTTTTTGTGTACGTGTGTGTATTTTTCAAAAATGATGAGAGAGGAAAAGAGAGAGAAGAAAAGGCCTGAGCTGGCTCTAGTAAAAGAACGACTTACCACGTCTGACATTTTTTGTCAACCCTATGGGAAGAAAGAGAAAACGACAAAATGTAAAAAAAAGAGAAAATAAATAATCATTATCGAGTTTTATGCAATCGTTATTCTGACATTCAGTTAAATTGACACAAAAAATCATATTATGTAAAATAAAAACAATAAGATTTCTTTTTTTATCAATCATATTGCCTTTAAAAAATCGCATTACCGGGTACGTATTTCCATGCTATATTTTTCATGCAACTAGTGTTTGCCAAAATCCCCGAATTTTTGGGGATTTTGACCCAAACGTTTTAGTCTCTAAGCCTTACAAACATTCACAGTCGGTGAAGCTTTCAGACTTCTGAATTCTTGATTTGATACTCTAATTTTTGTTATAATATTATTTTAAAGCCTTCTCTTATATTAATTGAAGTGTCTCCAAACTTTCACTATTAATTTATTCTTCTCTTGTCTTCTCTTCTCTCTATTTTATTCTCTTTGTTTGTCTACCCATCTACACATTTGTCTTTGTTCGCTGATCTGTCTGTCTGTCCTAACGCGTGTCTGTTAGTGTGTCTGTCTGTCTGTCTCCGTGCCGGTCTATCTTTGTCTCTTTCTGTCCACCCCCTCTCTCTCCCTCTCTCCATGTCTCTGTCTGTCTGTCTGTCTGTCTGTCTGTCTGTCTGTCTGTCTGTCTGTCTGTATGTCTGTCTATCTGTCTGTCTGTCTGTCTGTCTGTCTGTCTGTCTGTCACAGTCTCACCCTCTCTCCCTCTTTCTCTCTCTCTCTCTCTTTCTCTCTGTCTCTCTTTGTC